GGGGGGGAAGGGGGAAGCGGTGTTAGCCCGGGCGGATTCAGCAACTCCCACCTCCGCACCCATGGAACCCTCACTCACCCAGCTGAGGATGGAGAAGAAGCTGAAGGCGATGGCGGCCCGCGCCGCATCCCCCGCCTGCCTGGTGCCTGTCCCCGGCGCTGTGCGCTGCCACTGATTGGTGAGGAAACAGAAGCCCACGAACCACAGGAAAGACCAGATCCCTGCAGGCGGCGTCTGGTGGTCAGGCGGTACTCCACTAACCAGGAACACTGACCCTCGCGTTTTCGGAACAGGTGCGGTTTCACCAGCAAATTGCCACCAACGGCTCAGCCCTAGGACCTCCACGGTTCCACCCCTTCACAGCCTAGCCTCCTTGCTCAGTGAACCAGGTTCCCCACACAAACACACCAACCCCGCCCAGTCCAGCCCCCTCAGGCCCCGCCCAGCGCTCAGCGCCAGGCCCAGTCTTGTAACGCCTGCTTAGAAGCTTTAGGTTTCTCCGAAATAGGGTCCGCCTCCTCGTATCAAACCACGCCCCTTATTCCTCTAGACCCGGCCCCAAGCTGCCAGGGCCTTTCAAGAATCCTCCTCCCACACCGGGCGTGGTGGTGACCTCGGGAGATAGAAGTAGGCGGACCTCCGTGAGTTCGAGGCCTGCCTGGTCTAAATAGCGAGGTCCAAATCAGCCAGCTACATAGTGAGACCCTGTCTCGAAGAAAAAAAATACTCCCGCTAGGCGCGCCAAGCCCCGCCCCCTTGCAGTTTAGAATCTACCCCTGTCTGCCCCATTTCTCGTCGCTGGCCCTGCCCACCTGAGAAGCCCAGGTCCAGCAGCACTGCGCGGCGCCGGTCGCGGACGCTGCTGATCTGCTGGAAGCGCACATCGAGCAGCAAGAAGGCGGCGCAGGCGATGAAGGCCCCGAGGCCCAGCACAATGCCAAAGCGGCAGGCGCCCGCATTCCCGTTGAAGACGCAGCGCAGCTCGGGGCCGCTGTCGGCGTTCACGTAGCCCTCGTTGATAATGGGCCCGAACACCGCGATAGAGAACACCTGCGGGTGGCAGGCAGCGCTCAGGGCTCTGAGGTTGCCCCTCCCTCACGCCATGACTGCTGGCATCTGTTACCCCTGGCAAGTGCCCATGCCTCCGTGCTTGGCCCAGAGTTCCTCTGCAGCACCGAGCCCATCTCATCCCCGCGGGTGTTCAGTAATCATTGACAATAAAGTATTTTAGGGAATAACTAAAACTGCTAATCTACGTAGGTTTCCATGAAGGTGCTGCAACGCCTGTTATCCCAGCATTTGGGAGGTGAAATCAAGGAATCGGGAGCACAGTTCAGACTGCATGAGACGCCTTTTCATTTCTTTCTTTAAAAACTTTAAAAATTTTTTATTATATGTGTTTTGCCTGCATGTAAGTGCACTCATGTCATGTAATGTCTGCGGAAGCCAGAAGAGGGCTTCAGATTCTCTGGAGTTATGGATGGAGGTTAGTGTGGTTAGCTACCATGTCGGTGCTGGGAACCAAACCCAGGTCCTCTGCAAGAGCAGTCAATGACCTTAATCTTAACCTCTGGGCCAACTCTCCAGCCCCCCCTCCCCCAGTTTTTGTTTGTTTTGTTTTGAGACAGGGTCTTACTTAGCCCTGGTTGGCCTGGAACTTCATTATGTAGACCATAACCTAGGCTGGCCTAGAACTCACAGAGATCTGCCTCCTGAGTGCTGGGATTAAAGGCAAGTATGACTACATCTGGCCAGACTCTGTCTCAAAATAAAATACTACAAAAAATTACAGAGCGGCACCTTTCTTACCCCTTCATAAGGGAGGAACTATTAGAGTTTTAGAGTTCCAACAGGTGAAGTCACTTGTCTGGGGTCACATGACTGATAAGAGCCCAGGCTGCTTTAAGGATCCTATGGCTTATCTAGGGGTCTGTGACCTCCTTCAGTCTACTTGAAAGTGTGGAGACAGGCGCATTCACATAGATGTGGGACTCCCGGGATGCAGTGGGCCAGGGCATTGTGGGGGGTTGGGGTAGAGCTAAGGAGCAACTGCCCAGAGTATGCCAGCCCTTCCCCCTTTTGAACCTGATCCCTGCACAAGGAAGCTGTGTACCTGCTTTAGCATGCCACAGTAAACTAGCCTGGCTCAGAATGCTGGGTTCTATCCACCAGTAATAGCACTTGAGAAATGACCCCAGCAACTGTCATTAGTTATTGTTATAATATCAGTCATGAGTAATTGGACTGTAAAGGTGACACTGCTACTTCTAAAGGTTTGATCCAACCTCAGTCAGTACCTTCTGCCCACTAACTCTCAGAGATAAGTAGGAAACCCACCAAAGTCATTTTATATGAGCAGCCCTGTTTCCAAGAAATGTCCTTGGGTCTCAACTTTCCACTTTTTTCTCACCCCAGCTCCATGAGAACGCAGTCATGGAGGATGCCACGGCATGGATTTGTCTTTTGAGAGGGATCCACAAGTCAAGAGCAGAAGCAGGTTCCTGTTTCAGTCCAGGAGACGGTTGTGGGGGCGGGGGCTCCTGCCCCACCCTGGGCACTGCCCTCCTCCAAGACAGGGATGGAGATGCTACAAGCTCCTGGGCAAAATCCATAACTCGGCAGCCACCTCCTGTGTCTCTTGCTGGAGGGGTAAGTAGTGACTACAAGGTATGCACCAGTAGGATGGATTACCTCCAGCCTGCAGCTTCCATGCCACTTCTAGGAAGCCCTCTGGGAGCTGAGCCTCTTCTGGCTGCCCAAGTTCTGATCTCCTTCGCCCTCCAACTCACAGCTGAACTTGGGGGCCTAGAAAGGACTACCTCCCTTCAAATAGGCTTAGCGGATGTGTGTGCGGGATGAAGGGGAGGCACTGCACATTCTCCCTCGGGTCCCACAACCCCTTCCTCCAGCTGGGAATGAGCACCTAAACCCCTCAAAGAATCGTATCCCCAGCCCTGTGCCCGCTTCCAGGTAGTGGAAACCAGAAAAATGGAGAGAAGGCTGAGGAAGGGGGCTAGACTAGGTCTAAGGAGGAATTGGGGGCAGGGGGCAACCAGCGGTGACCTCTCAAGGTCCCCGGGTTGCAGCTGGCCCTTCCCCCGCCCGCAGGTGGGCGCGCCCAATCAGGTGACGTCACCCCAACCTGCGGACGGAGGGGGAGGGGCCGGAGGGAAGGAGGGCGAGGGGCGAGGGGCAATGGGCAGGGGGCGGGTGGGGGTGGGTGAGGAGAGAAACAAGGGATACTAGGCAAAGCTAGGCGGGCAAAGGGGCCTGCTTAGGGGTCACTTACCCAAGACGCGACCCGCAGCAGGGTCTGGGGCCGTCGCGCGAAGCTCACGGGATCCAAGGCAGCCCCCGCACGGCCCGCGCCGAAGGAGGCGCCCTCCATGGCGGGCCCCCTGCCCTCTGTCCGTCTGTCCCACCCGAGGCCGCCCCGGGCTGCTGCTGCGACTGCTGATGCTAAGGATGCTGCCGCTGCTGCTGCCTCCCGGGAGCGCGCACCGGCCACGGCGGGGGCGCGCGGGGCGGGGCCGAGCCAGCGCCCCCAACTGGGTCCACTCTCCTGGCCAGAATCCTGCCCTGGCTCCATCCCGCCCACTCTCCCCTGCGTGACGGAGTCAGAGATAGAGACATCCTCTAGAGACACAGAGCAGGACCCTATGGGGTTTAGAGATGGACAAGAGAAGGCAAGAACTAGGCTCAGACTACCCAGCATGGACACGGAGGACAGGCCCAGCATCTTATTCTTTGCGCTCAAAAAGACGGAATTAGGCCCTAGACCTTGACCTCAGAAGACATGGGTCACTGGGGGCCTTTCCTGTTAGCCCTTGAAGTAAAATAGAAAGAAAATTAAGGAACATGGAAGGAAAAGGAACCTCTCAGTCGTACTGGCTGAGAATCCAATCTCAGTTCAGAGTTGTGGTATGCACTGGTTTCTCCTTTACAGGTTGTACTTTCCTGACAGGATCAAGTGGAAGAGTTGGCCTCTGCCACTTTCAAGGGCATTTTTCAGGGACGGAGTTCAGTGTGGTCATTCATGAGACCTCAGATTCAATCCCCAGTACCACCAATATAATAAACAGCTCTTACCGGGTGTGATGGCACACACCTTTAATCCCAGCATTTGGGAGGTAGAGGGAGGTGGATCTCTGTGTTTGAGGCCAGACTGGTCTACACAGTGAGTTCCAGGACAGCTGGGCTACAGAGAGACCCTGTCTCAAAAAGACCAAATAAGTAAAAAATAAACAGCTTGTCGGGAGCCGCTAATCATTCAGCTGTGTCAGGCTTGTTTACTGAGTGTGTGTTATGCACACCAATATCTAATCTGCCTTATTAGGAGGAATATGTTTATATGGAGAGCCTCACAACACCTGACCTTGAGGCAATAGTGGAAGCCTTTGATCTGACCGCTCCTTGACCCTCAGATACAGGTAGGGAAGAACAGCAGTTGTAACTAATTGAGTTCTTCTGTATAAAAAGACAGTACTGAAATAAATCAAGGCTGCAGTATTGACTGTGAGCCCTCCCAAGCATCTTTTCTGTCTCCTTTCCTTTCTTTCAATCCTCACTCCTCCTTTCGGGTACTGTCCGTTTTGGCCGGCTAGCACCGGCACAGCTCCTGGCATCACTTCCCTCAAATTGAGCCAACAGCAGCAAACTCAAGTTGCTACCCCTCTGCTTCTAATACCTCCTCCCCTTTTCCCTCAGAACCCCCAGTATAATTACCTCCTCCCCTGCACCTGTACCTGCCATTCCAGGAGCAAGCCTGATTCTGCTGGTCCATCCATACAGGCTACACTTCTAACATCTAATATTCCATCCCCCAGTAGGATGGAACCTTGAACCTTATGCATGCCAGGCAAGCACTCTACCTCTGAGGTATATTCCCAGCCATCATGAGATCCACTCTTGGCAGTTCCTTTCAAGGTCCTCTACTTGCCCAATCTATGACCTAGGAGCCTGAGGGGCCCTAGAACACTTCTCCCTCTCTATTGGTTCTTACTATATATGCCGAAAGCTCTCAAATCCAGCTCAAAGCAGAACCTTCCCTTTGCACTAGTTCCACTTGCTTTGACCTGAATGCCCTGTAAAGAGTTGGGACAAAATCAGTTTTCTTGGGAGGTGTAGGAAAGGGAAGCAAGAGACAATGCAAACTCTGAGGAAGCAGTTAGGGAAAAGGGGAAGTGATGTGGGGAAGGAGGAAACAAATCTAGGCAATAGGTCCTGAGCTGACCATAGATTTAGTAGGGATCCCCTGGTTCCATGACATGAGTACATTAAGCCTTGAGGCTAGAGAAGCCCCTAGGAAGGAGGGGCACCTTCTCTGCTGGCTGCTTCTCCCTCATTTTCACCTGACCCCTCTGAGCATTCTCTGTAGAAGCTAACAAATCCAAAGAGCTGGGTGGAAAAGCTTCTTCTCCACTGGAGACACAAGGAGGCCATGCCCAAGCTGTCACCTAGGAAGAGGCTGACACTGAAGAGAATGGTTCTTTTATGATCACAGTGAACACTGCTGCTGGGCTGCTCTGGTGGGGAGCCTTACCTAAGGACAGGTAAGCTGAGCAGATCCAGGGAAGCCCAAAAGCTGGGGTGCACTGGTACAGAGAGCAACTCCTAGGTGCCAATACCCCAAAGCCCCCTAATCTTCAGTTCTTTTTCACCCAAGGAATTCTCTGATTCTGCCTCTAAATATACCCAGAATGTTCTTCTACACTGAAGAGCATCTATCTCAGCTTCCCCACAGTGACTTCTAGAACCACAGACAGGACCCAGCTGAGCAGAGAAGCAAGAACAGGCCCATCTATCACTGCAAACCCCAGAACAAAGCACACAGAAACCAGGACCTCAGTCACTTCATTTTATTTTGGTCTTCAACTCAGTGGAAGCTGCTCCCAGAATCCCCTGCTGACAGACCTGGCAAAGCTATGGAATGCCATATGCCAGGCAGGCAGTGGGCAGCATCATGGGTACACCCTAAGAAAAACCCTGCCAGAGGTTTCCCTGTGGGGACCAAGCACAGAATAGACAGCTCAGCCCCATGCCTCAACTCTGAAATGGCAACAGCACAGAGCTGCCCAGGCCACAGTTCTGTAAGCACCCCTACCTATGCAGTGGGAAGGCAGAGGTCTGGCCTACCTTCCCGTGGGACAACTATGTCCAGAGTATGAGGTGGGCAGGAGGCTTCATTGTGAAGGGCAAAGGGGCAGCCCGAGCTACTCTGGGGCCTCTCTCACCTTCAGTCCCTTGGAGCCTCAGCTAAGGAGGCCTGCAGTAAGCATCTCCAGTTCTCTAATCCTGAAAGAAGGGTCCCCATGGACAGTGTCCTAGGGACCACCCAACTGAGACAACAGGCTTTGCAAAGCGCAGATGTACTTTAATCAGTATCCTGTCCCTCTCCAGTTAGGCTGCCCATGGATGCTGGTTCGATGTCCCACATATTCTGGTTTGCCATCTTCTAGTCACAGGAGCCATCCTTCCAGCCGTCACGCCAGCGCTCATCCACTCTCATGCAGTCAAAGTCAGGCTTGCCCAGCTTTTGATTCACCTCATTGTGCAGGCGGCATAGCCACTGGCTGAAGGATACCCGAGTACTTGTGTTCGGAGGGTTCCTGCCTATCCTGCATGAGAAACACAGAAAGAAGGTAAGGAGATGGTGGACCCCTGTACCTGCCAGCTCCTGAGGCTGGGGCACTCTTGTGAGCTACACCTGGGAATGCTTTCTTGCTCCAAGGGAACCCAAATGCAAAGAACAGGGCTGACTACAGTTTCTTGGGCTTGGCAGACTCTCAAGGGCTGTTCACAAACTCACCTGCCTAGTAAAACAGGCACCTAAAGCAGGCAACTTTACAACCTTTTAACAATCAGGGGTGCCTCATCCCAGTCTCTGGCCCCAGGCAGAGTACAGAGTACCGATGGGCGGGGCCTGGCACAACTACCTGTTTGCTTTTTTAAAAAATATTTTATTTTTATTTTACATGTATGAGTGTATCGCCTGTGTGTATGTGAGTGCACCCGTGTCGTGCAATGCCTTGGATATCAGAAGAGGGCTTCGGATTCCCCTGGAAATGGAGTTAAGGACGGTTCATAGTCACCATGTGAGTGCTAAGAATCGAACCCAGGTCTTCTGCAAGAACAATCACTGTTCTTAACCGCTGAGCTCTCTCTCCAGACCCCATTCCCTTATTTTTAAAAGCCAGTAACACAGCCTGGAACGTTAGGCAATGTGGAGTCTTAGCCAACCTGGCCATGAGGTCTGAGCAAGAGAAGTGGCAGGGAAGCCTTTCCTAGGAACCTTAAAGCTGCAGATCCATACATCTGGGCTTTTGACGGGAAAGAGGGCTCACAAAACCCAACATCCCTCTTGGTGGTCTCTCTTAGCAACCTGTCACCTCTGCATCTATTTTTCTAGGTCTCTATGACATCAGCCAGGTCCCCTCAGGGTCTTGCTGGCACAGGTGCAGTCACAACTTACCTCTTCCTTATGTCTTCCGCACATTCCTCACAAGGGTAAAACTTGGAAAATATACGTATGAACTGGGCCATATCTTGCTGCTGTTCCGGAGTGGGTGTGTCCGGGTAGTAGGCGGCCAGGGTGTGGAGGAAAGCCCAGGTGTGGCGACCCACTTCCTCCCGATCCAGTGGACAATCCTCCCTAAACTTGCTGTCTCGCTGCAGGAGTAGGCCGTCTACGGGTCAGTTCATTTTCCCCCAACCAGAAGCCCACAACGAGCGTTGCACACCAAAAAGCCTTGGGTTCTTTCCCCAGTAACACTAACACACACACACACACACACACACACACACACACACACACACACACACACACGAAAACGAGAAAAAAGGAACAAGGAAGAAGAAAGTTCCCTCTTTTTCAGCTGGCTGGCAGCCCACTAAATCGATCCTGCAGTCTCCGGCTGAAAACTCAAAGTTCGGGCCCAACGGTTTGTGTAGGGAGTGGGGGTGGATAGGTTTAAGCATAGCCAAGCCTGAGGGCCTGGGCCCTGGGGAGGACTTAACGGGACACCTAGGAACAAGGTGTGGGGCGGGGGCCTGGAGTTGTGGGGGAGGGGTGTCGAGCGGGGCGTCTGCACCTTCTGCTGGGTCCGCATCCACGACTTGAAGTCCACGCAGGCCCGGCAGGGCCGCTTCCCGGGCTCTGTGCCTTGAGACTCTGAGGCCGAGGCCCGGGCCGAGACGGGGGCGTCTTTGCGCCCGGGACTACGGCCCCGCGCGTCGGTCACCAGGTCCTCGGTCACCTCGGAGAGCGCGCCGCCTGGCAGGAAGGAGAAAAGGCCGCCGCGGGACAAGCCCGCGGGCTCGCTGGGCACCGCCATCTTGCCGGCGCACTGCCTGCCGGGCCAGGAGGGTCTCCAGAAGGCGGGCCAGGCCAGTGCGCGCGCCCCGGCCAGCGCGCGGCTGCAGGAGCCAGAGCTGCGCCCGGGGGCCGAGCTCACGCTGAGTCCGGAGGCGGGGCCCGGGGCGGGGCCTGGCGGCGGGGCGGGGCTGGGGGGCATTTCGGCGGAGACCTAGGCCAAGGCGCTGGAGGAGGCGGGGCAGGAGGCTCGGGCCATATAGGCCCCGGCGGCCGCGGATCCGGTTCTGTTGGTACCCTGGCGCCTGGTTATCCGACGCGCGCCCGGAGTTTGGGGTCCATGGAGGAGCTCGGATTTAGAGCAGCCTGCGTCACGAAGGGGCTGAGTACTCGGGCTGAGGCGAGGTCCGAGATGCTTCTTGCGTCGCCCCCATCGCTTGACTCAGATCCACTACTAGCCGCCAGGTTATGGGACTTTGTGCGTGACCACGCGCCCACCTGCCCAATGCCGGAGGCCTTGGCAACGCGTGGCGGGGCGTAGCCTCATAGAGAACTGATTGCGGAAATGCCTAGGGGCAACGGGAACCTTGGCAACCTTGGGCGTGGCCAAGACTGCAGCTTCAGAGGAGCCGCTGCAGAAACATCCCCATCAGGAATTCCTTTTGTGTGTGTGACATGGTCTCATGTAAACCAGGTCCCAGGCTAGCCTTGAACTCCTGATCCTCCTTGCCACCACCACTACCTCTCCAAGTGCTTGGATTACAAGTCTGTGCTATCACTCTTGGCAAGAATTCTTTTCCGTTTCCATTATGCTCATTCATTCATTCTGTAAATGTTTGTACTGTGTCTACTCTGCTTCAACCACTGTTCCAGGCACTGAGCAGAACAGGGAACAAGCCTCTGTCCCTGACCTCCTTAGCCTATAGTTCAATCAGTGGTCGACAGGAAAAACCTAGTTACTCCAATAAATGTTTCCTTACAAACTGGTTCCAGGCCATCCAATGCCCTCTTCTGGCCTCTATGGGCTTTATATGACATGAGTGCACTTACATACATGCAGGCAAAACACTCACACACATAAAAATAAAAATGGGGCCGGGTGTGGTGGCGCACACCTTTAATCCCAGCACTCAGGAGGCCAGAGGCAGGTGGATCTCTGTGAGTTCAAGGCCAGCCTGGTCTACCTAGCCCCAGGCCAGCTGGGGCTACTGGGAGACCCTGTCTCAAAAAAGACTAGATAGATGATAGATAGATGATAGATAGATAGATAGATAGATAGATAGATAGATAGATTTAAAAAAATGGGGCTGGCGAGATGGCTCAGCAGTTAAGAGCACTGGCTTCTCTTCCAGAGAACCTGGATTCAATTCCCATCATGTACATGGCAGCTAACAGCCATGTGAAACTCCAGTTCCAGGGGATCCAAAATCCTTTTCTGGCCTCTGGACATTCCATAGCACAGGTGTACTTACATATAGGCAGACAAAACACTCATAAACATAAGTTAGGCAGGCATGGTGAAGCATTGCCTTTAATCCCAGCACTGGGGAGGCAGAGGCAGGTCGATCTCTGTGAGTTTGAGGCCAGCCTGATCTACATAGCAAGTTCCAGGCTAGCTAGGGTACAGGGAGACTCCATCTCAAAAAACAAAATAGTAAAATAAATAAATAGGAACTGAGGATGTAGCTCAATGGGTAGAGTGTTTGCTTAGCATTCATAAGGCTCTGGGTTCCATCTCCAGAACCATATAAAACCGTAAGTGTGGTGGGGCATACCTGTAATCCCAGCACTCTGGTGGTAGAAGTAGAGGACCAAAGTTCAAGGCCAGGGGCTAGAGAAATGGCTCAGTGGTTTAGAGCACTGGCTGTTCTTGCAGAGGGCCTGGGTTTGATTCCCAGCACCTACATGGGAGCTAACAACCATTCATAACTCCAGTTCCAAGGGATCTGACACCCTCTTTTGATCCACTGGCATTGCACTACACAGGTGCATTTACATACATTCAGGCAATACACCTATACACATAAACTAAAAAATAATATACAGTTTTGTTTTGTTTGGTTTTTTTTTTGTCTTTTTTGATGGGTAAAAAGTTGCCCGAGAACCAATGAATAGAGGAGGAAGCACCAAGACAGATAAAACTCTCAACAGGATAGAGCTTTATTTTGCATGGGACACGTTCCCTTCAGGGAAGGGAAAATGTCAGCCCACGGATTGTGAGCTGGGGCTTATATAATATAGAGGCTTCAGGGTACAGAAGGCGGGAAATTTTTTGGAAAAAATCGGGAGGGAAAGCAGGAAAAGCGGGGCTTGTAACTTGGCTCTGGCTCCGTTCCATCTGCCAGCCAGGATCTGGGTCAGGAAGTGTTTATTTTTTGTCCTCTTAAGATAAGGGAAAAGCTGCTGTACTAAAGCGGCTCCTAAAATCTTTGGTTAACAGGCAAAATCTACTTATCTTATCTTCGGAGATTAAAGGAAAGGCAGGCTGCCTCTTAGAAGAGTCTGCTTCCCTTGACTTCAAAGACCAAGGTGCTTATCAGCTTGGTTCCCTTTTTTCAGGGGCTTGAGAAATCCGAAGTCCGTGGGACCCTGTTGGAGAGGGGGGAGACTGCTGCAGTTTGAAACCCTAATATTTTTGAGTCAGGGTATCCTTGTAGCCCCAGCTGTCCTGGAACTCACTATGTAGACCAGGCTGGCCTCGAACTCACAAAGATCCACCTGCCTCTGCCTCCCAAGTGCTGGGATTAAAGGCGTGTACCACCACGCCCACAAAATATAGTTTTTTAAAAGTTCAAGGCCAGCTGTAGTCCTGGTAGAGTGGTTAAGGTAATGAACTAGAAAATAAAGGTCATCCCTGGCTATATATCAAGTCCTAGAGTTCTAAGCCAGCCTGAGCTACCTGAGACCCTCTTTCTGTTGGTTTGTTTTTTGACAGGGTCTCACAATGTAGCATTGGCTGGCCTGGAACTCTCTACATAGACCAGGCTGGCCTCAAACTTACAGAGATCAGCCTGCCTCTGTCGATCAAATACTAAGATGAAAGGTGTGAGCCAGTACATCCAATGAGACTGATTCAAAATAATAAGGCTGGGTATAGTGGCACATGCCTTTAATCCCAGTACTCAGGAAGCAGAGACAGGTAGATCTCTGTGAATTCCAGACCAGCCTTGGTCTACATAGTGGCTTCCAGGCCAGTCAGTGCTACAAAGTGAAACCCTGTCTCAAAAAAAAAGAGGTGGGCGGGAAGATGGCTCAGTGATTAAGAGTACTGGTTGCTCTTGCTTAGCACCTGGGTTTGGTTCCCAGAATCCACATGGTGGCTAACAACTAACTGTCTTCTAGAGATCTGACACTTTCTTCTAGTCTCCTTGGGCATTGCATACATGTGGTGGTATATACATGCAGGGATAACACTCACATAAAATAAAAATTTGAAAAATTTAAAGTTAAAATAATAAGTAAATAAATATCAGCAGCTGGGTGTGATGGTGCTTTAATCCCAGCACTCGGGAGGCAGAGGCAGGCGGATCTTTGTGAGTTCAAGGCCAGCCTGGTCTACATAAGAGTTCCAGGTCATGGAAGCCATCTTGAAGGTTAGCTCTTATAGCTTTGGAGAGCACCGTTCAAGCTGCTAAAGGAGAACATCAATGGTCCAACCCCAGCTTCAAGTCCTAAAAACATCAATGACCAGCACAGCAAATGACATTGGTGCAGTAATGACACTTGTGGGTGTAATCAACAGTTACCTAATTGGACTTAAAGCCCATTCAATGGGAGGAACTCATGTGATATTGTAAACCTAGCCAAATACATATAAATGGAGAGGTCATAGATCTTAGAGAAAACTCCAAGGCTGTCACATCCCTAGACAAATGTAATATAGATCCTTAAATCTATAGAGAAGTATCCCAATCACTACCCATCAAAGAAGCTTCTTTTTCAAGAGACAGAGATAGTTACAATTTCTACACCTAAGGCTCAGGGAACATGGAACAAAGGATGAAAACACTAATGCATCTTTCAATTCTCATCAATGAAACTCCCTCATGCAACAGAGAGCCAGGAATGCAAAAGGTCACAAATGGACAAAACACAGAGAATAAGAGTCTGCACAGGGTAGGTCCTTGAACAGGACTCCTATATTAAAATCCACCCACCCAGGGCTCAGGGATCATTGTAGAAGAGGAGGCAGAAAGATTGTAAGAGCCAGGGAGGAGGTGCATGACCATACAGAAATAGTTCTATAGGCTCCTGGAACTCTTCTCAAAGCAATCTGCAGCAATGATGCTAGTATACACAGGCCCATGTAAACTTAAACATACAAAACCCCAGTACAGAACTGTGGGAATGAACAGCAGGCCCCAATCTTAGTCAAATAATTATTGGCAGCTGATTACTACTGGGTAAGAATGAACAGATCTTCTTAAAGGGAGAGACTCTTGGCAGACAGACTAGATCCCAGTGGATGAACTTGCACTGGGGTTTATCTAGGACACTAACTTTACATGATAGGCACACAAATGACAGAAGGTACTGTGGTGGTTTGAATGAAAATGTCCCCCATAGGCTCCAAGTGTTTGGACATTTTGCCCCCAGATGATGATGCTATTTTGGGAGGTTTTAGAAAGTGTGGCTATCCTGGAGTAAGCACATCCCTGGGGGTGGGCTTAGAGAGTTTTTAAGCCTTGCCAGATCTCTAGTTGCTAGGTCTTTTGCTTCCTGTGTCTGCGTGATGATATGAGAGCTTAGCTTCCACTCCTCCTCCAGCCACCTCTGCCACCATGCCTCCCTGCCAAGATGGACTGTAATTCCCCTGGAACTGTAAGCTCAAATAAACCCTTTCTTCTATAAATTGCTTGGGTCAGTGTTTCTATCACAGCAACAGAAAAGTGACTAATACAGGTAAAAATTCCAGCGGGGGAGGGGGGATGGGGGGATAGGAGGGTGCCAAAGCGGAAGGGGGTATAAAGATGATTTTCTGTATGAAATACACAAAAATTCAATAGGAAAAAAAAAAAAAGAGTTCCAGGTCAGCTGGGGCTACAGGTCCCAAAAAAGACCCCAAAAGCAGAAACATCACACAAATCCAAGATTACTCAAAATACAATGAGGGTACTTACAGAATGAAGTGTATTATTTATTTTTTGAGAAAGGGTCTCCCTGTAGCCCTAGCTGGCCTGGAACTCACTATGCAGACCAGGCTGGCCTTCAACTCACAGAGATTTATTTTTACCTGCTTTTGCCTCCTAAGTGCTAGAATCAAAGGTGTGTACCATCATGCATGGCATTGAAATGTATTCATTTAAGGCAAGAGGAAGGTATTTTTGGGGGTGTGTGTGCATGGTTTATATGACAGGGAGGGAGCAACTTACAAAGATGGCTCTTCATAACTCATACATCACTCAAGCCCTGCAGGTTTTTTTTAAAAAAATATTTTATTATTTTTTTTGGGGGGGGTCTTTTTGAGGCAGGGTCTCCCTGTAGCTTCAGCTGTCCTGGAACTCACTATGTAGACGAGGCTGGCCTTGAACTCACAGAGATCCGCCTGCCTCTGCCTCCCAAGTGCTGGGACTAAAGGCGTGCGCCACCACGCCAGGCCTAATATTTTATTATTTTTATTTTATGTGTATGCATGTATTGCCTGCATGTAGGTAAGTGCACCTGTGTTGTGCAGTGCCCGAGGTGGAGAGAAGAGGCTGTTGATCCCCTGGAACTGGAGTTACGGACAGTTGTTAGGTGCCATGTGGGTGCTGGGATTTGAACCCAGGTCTTCTGCAAGAACAGTCAATATTCTTAACCACTGAGCCATCTCTCTAGCCCCAAGAGGAAGGGTTTTAAAATTCTAAACTAGGTAAAGGTGGCCCACCAGCAATTGGAATATACCTATCAAATGCTAATGACCAAAAAATAGGGTATTTCTCCTGCTCAAAGTCTACAAGTAAACCTCTTGAGGAAGACTGTGAATCTTGAGGAAGACTGTGAATCTTACTTGTCTAGAAAAATCCAGTAATTAATCTTTAACTTAAATATCCTCTTCCCTAACTTGGGAACATTTGACAGACCCTTCTTCCTGTTAGAATTAAACCAGAGAGAGCACTTGAAATCCTAAACACTAAGTGGTTAGTTCAGATGGAGCCCCATAGGCAAGTTCAGAGAGAGCTGTTGGGCACACCCTGGTATGTTACAGCAGGGTGGGGCAGGTGAGGCTGCCACCTGAGGCTCCTTCTCTCCCCCTGAATGAATGAGCTTTCTTCCTCCTTTCTTCCCTTGGCCAGGGGGAGGGAAGGAGCCCCAGGTGGCAGTCCCAGCCTATTGGCACTCTGCTTCAGAACAGCCCTGTACAAAGTACTACAGGTCATCATCCTTCCACCTGCCCTGGCTTGGGCCCCCTAAATACAATGCTCCTGTGATGGATTCTCTTAGATTTTGTACTTGAGAAACAATCAGGAAACTGAGATTCCAGGGGTGTGACGGTACCCAGCTTAGGGCGGTGTTAGGGAATTCCATTCCACTTCTTCCGGCTGCTCAGATCCCGCTCAAGGACTCAGAGGTTGAGGAGGCTATAGCCATGGCAGGTCAGCGACACCCAGTATCAGTGCATGCTGTAGCCCTGGTACAAACGGAGCGACTCCAGGTATAACCACATGCCCCCACCCCTCAATGGTCTCCAAAGAGGCAAAAGGGCAGCTACATGAGGGAGGTGGCACCTTAACCTTTCTTCACACAGACATTCACCTTCTCTGTGTGCTGGTCAGACAACAGTGACACCTTTGTGCGCAGGAGCTGGAATGACTTTAGGCAGCTTCAGGTAAGTAACACGTGCTACTTCAAGGGGGCCTCTGGGTACATGATTGATCAGTGACTTTGCGGGAAAGCTTTCCTTTCTGCCAGTCACTGGGTGGGGGAGTTCCGCTCGCTTTTAGAGACTGACACATGCTTCTCCCACCTCAGAAGATCCTTAAGGAGACCTTCCCTGTAGAGGCTGGCCTGCTGAGGAAATCAGACCGAGTACTCCCCAAGCTTCCTGGTCAGGCCTGCAGGGGTCACAGGGGTGGTGAGGCAGGCAAAACTTGCTGGGTGTTGGGGAGCAGAATCCCACTGTGTCTTTGTGGTACCTGGGCAGATGCTCCACTGTTGGCACGTGGGGGTCGCACTGGCCGTGGCCTGGTGCGCTTGCAGCTGCTGGACACCTATGTACAAGCACTCCTAGCAGCGTCAGAGCATGTGTTGCAGAGCACAGCACTTACTGACTTCTTTGCATCCAAACCTCTGGACCTGGAGCCCAGGCTGCCTCGAGGCAGGTACCTAACATTGACTTATTCAAGCACTTGTTGAAAGGGCAGATGAAAAGGGGCAGATTGGAAGGCTGAGCTGACTTGTCTATGTGGGGAAGGGAGCATTCCCATCCTTCCTATCCACTCATACCTCATCCACACTGGCTGTCCTGCCCAGCCTGGTGATTCTGCCCACACCAGAGGAGCCTTTATCCCAACCTGCCAGCAGCCTTGCCATTCACAGCTTGGAGGCTCAGAGCATGCGCTGTTTACAGCCCTTCCACACCCAAGACACAGTAAATAGGCCATTCCATACACAGGCCCAAGAAAGTCTGGATGTGCTACTACGACACCCTTCAGGTAGGACCATAGGATAAGAACCTGGGTACTTGCTGTGGTCAAGATGAGTTCAGGCCTTGGCATCTGAGTGCCTTCCCTGCCTCTGGAACAGGCTGGTGGCTGGTGGAGAACAAGGACCAGCAGACAGCCTGGTTTCCAGCTCCCTACCTGGAAGAGGTGACCTCAGACCAGGAGTCGGGTCAGGCTTTGCAGGGCAGTGGTATGAGCCCATCCCCTATCCCAAGCCCATCACTATGAATGGACCTTGTGATTAAGGCTGAGGACAAGATCAGGAAGGCAACAGCAGAAAACCAGGCATATGGGTGGTACTCACAGCTGGGAGGAAGCCCAAGTAGGTTTCAGAGCAAACCAGGGTGAGGCCAGAGATAGGTCAGGACTTTGGACTTTGCAGCTGTACAGCAATCCTCAAATACCTACCCTAGGGACCCAGTTCTGTGCTACCCAGGCCTATGAGGGCAGCCGCATGGATGAGCTATCAGTTCCTGCAGGAGCATGTGTGCATGTGTTGGAAACCTCAGATCGTGGCTGGTGGCTCTGCAGGTACAGAGGTGTAGTGTGTGTGTGTTTGAGTGTGTGTGTGTGTTTGAACAGTGGCAGGCCTGCCTGGTATTGGTGGGCATGCTAGAAGTGGACAAATTGTTGACCAAGTCCTGCCTTTTCTTTTAGGTATCGTGGGCAGTCAGGCCTGCTACCTGCAGTGCTGCTACAGCCTGAAGGGCTGGGCTCCCTCCTGAGCAGGCCAGGAATCCTAGATGGTGGGAAGGACAGGGTGGCTAAAACCAGGAATATTCCCCCTGTAGTACCAACCCGCCCCCATATGAGTGTCATCCAGAGCCGCTGCTGCAGCATCACCCGCCAGGCACTGAGGCAGGACCCAGGGACCTACAGCTCCCCTTGAGGGTATGTGTGTGTAGCTCTGTAGGGAGACTGCACTATTCACCTGAACCATCATAGGCAGAGCTGCCAAAGGAGAATGAGGATGGGGTTCTCAGGCTGGCAGGTGGCAACTCCCCATTGTTCTCTAAATAAAACTGGAATGACTTTACCCAATCTCACTGTGTTGAAGATAGGGCCCGAGGAATCTCAAGCTGGGGGCAGGGGTGGGCATGAGTCTCTACAGTTGAGATCCTGGTTGGCCAAGGATTGCCAAGGATCTTGGGGGTAAACAGGTTAGCTCCACATGAAAGGTCAAGATTCACACAATAGAAAAGCGCAACTTTTTATGTGTCTCACAGGGCTGGGGGTGCAGCAGGGAGCGGGGACAACTTCATGTTGTGCCACAGGAAATCCAAGAAGGTAGCTGCCTGTAGCGTCCGGCTAAGCCGCTGAAAGTGCCGCTCTGGAGGAAGACAGAGAAAGTCAAGGGTTTGTGTACCCACCAGGAGCCTCCCTGGTCCCAGGGCCATGCCCACATACCAGTATAGGGCAGCAGGGCCTCGAGTGCAGGCCGCACACCCTCATAGGCCAGCAGTTCCTCTGGGGCCTCATTCCGCAGGAATACACTAAGCACAGCCTGGGCTTCATGGCAATGTCGGGAGTTGGTGTTCCATGTGACACAGAAGCGCAGTAGGGCTTCTATAGAGAACAAGGACAGTTAACCTACCTGTTGGGCCATTCTATTTTGCTCTGCCAAACAGGCCACCCTCTCCCCAGACTGCCCATCTGCCCCTTTCTGCCAGACTCTTCCCATCTGCCCACCTTTCTGGTCTTGTCGCAGTTGGAGCACAGTGGCTTCCAGCTTCTCACAGGCTTCAGGATCCCTCTGGATGGCTATGAGGAGGAAATCTGAGCTTGAAGAAAGTGTTTAATGGTCCCTGGATCCTTCCCCAACCCTAGCCTGCTCCTAGGGCAGGCACTGACCCTGGATAACTGTCAGCACAGTGTGAGGACGATCCAGGGAGATGGCAAGGCCCAATGCCCGCAGGTACTGCTTCTCATGGAGCAGGTTGTCCAGTTCTTGCTGTCTGGCAGGACAGAGGAAGGACACAGTCACTCAGAGATCCTAGCTGGGCCAGAGCACTCACAGGTGTGAACACCACCCAAACTGATGTTTCCTGATGTCATATAGCAGGGACATGCAGGGGCTGCTGCTGAAGGCATGCAGTTCTACTGCTGGGGTAGGCAGGGGTGCTGCTGCTACTGAGGGTGTGCAGGGGGTGCTACTGAGCCCAAGCTTACTTGATTACTTGCTCTTCCCGCTTGGCCTGTTCCTCTGCCTGCTCAGCCTCTGTCACATCCTAGGATCAGATTGGGGTCAGACAGGCCCTATGCTGTCCCCTGCCCTGCTTTGTCCCACCCCTTGGGGCTCACAACCTTCCAGAGAATGACTCGGGAATCACTGCCACCTGTGACGGCATGGTCATCCAGTTTGCTACAATGTAGCCCCCAGACCTTGTCCTCATGGGCATCCAGGGTTCGCACACACTCATTGCTCTTGATGGTCCACAGCTTCAGGAGTCCATCAGAGCCACTGAGGATGAGATTGGGAAGGACTCAGTGTGATGGCCCATTGCCTATCATGCCCCATCCCCTGCTCTTTCTCAGTTCATTCACCTGGATAACAGCTGTGAGCCACGGCTCACAAAGGCCACTTTCAGCACAGAAGCATCATGTCCCTCAAATGTCTGCAGGGGAAAGAGAGAAGGGTATAGGTGTGAGATGTCACCAGGGAGGAGGGATGACACTAGGGGACAGTGCTTACCTTGAGACAGCTGAAGTCCTGCAGTGCCCAGAGCTTGATGGTGCCATCAGCTGAGGCTGTGGCCAGCACCTGGTCCATGGGTGAGAACTGGACATTCCAGAGGCCACGCTGGTGGCCTGAGAAAACACCCAGTAGTTGGCACTGAGGCAGGGCCCAGAGCTTAGCTGTGCGGTCCTGTGAACTAGTGGCCAGCAGCTTGTCATTGGGGGAGATAGCCACACTGTTGATGTCCTAGTGATAGGAGCAGGCAGCAAAATTTACACACCCTTCTCAGCAAAGGGCTCAATCACACTCCCATCCCAGGGACCATGTCTTCTGGTTACCTTGTCATGGCAGCGCTGTGTGGTCTGGGCCTGTAGGAGGATGGGGTCACTGTCCACAGCTGAATTCTTGGACAGCAGGGCTTCAGGGAGGGGCCACAGCTTCACAGTACAGTCCTGGCTGCCCGTCACCAGGAAAGATTCCTTCAGCCTATAGCCAACAGGGGAGAGGGGAGACCTAGTCTACAGTGCATCAAACTGATCTGCTGGGCCACAGTCAGGACCAGAGGGATCATTCCAGGATGCAGACTGGCCTGGGCCACCCCCAAATACTGCCTCTGCTTACAATACTTACCCCCAGGGCCACAATATTTAGTAACTAATCCCAACCATGGGGCCCAGCCCTATATGAAGGGTCACCCTCTCCAGTGGGACTTAGTTCAATGTCATTCTCACTATGTTCATGTTATTCCCCTTTGTCTACTTTTTCTCAAGGTCACTTCCAAGGAATTCCCCATGGCACTTAGGGCTCTCCCAACTGGTTCTGTTGGACAGTTCCTTGGTGAAGCCTCAGAGTGTAGCCAAACCAGCTCACTCCTCCTCCATCCTGAGCCTAAACCTAATGGCTTGGGCCTCACCCTCCTTGAATACCTCTAGGACCAGTCCTGACCTAGAACAGCAGATGGTGCCCACGCTGTGTGTATGTCCGGAGCCTTGAGCCACGCAGGCCACCTGGCCAGCCTTGTTCATCCTCCAGATGCGTATACTCTGATCCTGGGGACAGTAGGGGTTGAAAAGAGAGACTGGGTTATGGTCCTATTGCCTTAGCTTCCTCTTGGGAGGCCTAAAGCTCAACATCTCTCATGGGACCTCACCTTGGCACAGCTGGCAAAGAGCCACCCCTTCCGGAACACATCCAGGGCCAGGACAATGTCTGGGAGGAAGGGGAGAATAGTCAAATCAAGCATAATGAGGCTGCAGGGGCAGGGAAGGGAAGCTATCAAATCCAGGTCAAAGTCCCAGGGGTGCCAGGGGGCTCAACTTGCCTGTGTGGCCATAGAGGATCTGGCAAGCTGAAGTCTGCAGCTCAAACACTTTCAGGCAGTTACTGTTGGAGGCCACAACAATGTGGGAGTCCTTAGGCCCAAGGAACCGAACATCCAATACCTCCTCGCTATAGCCAGCAAACTGGTGGGGGCAGGAAGGATATGAGCAAGGGACTGAATGAGTGGAGGGCTAGTGCTCAAGTCATGTGCTGGGCAGGAGCCAGTGCTTACCTGTTTCTGCAGCTGTAGGGAACATGCCTCATAGAGTAGCAGGTTATGGTCAGCAGTGACACTGAGGAGTAGACCAGATTTGCGTGCCAGGGTGCAGTGGGTCAGTTCTTGCCTTAGACCTGGCATCTGTGGCTGGGTGTATACACACTGCCCTGAAGCTGCCTCCCATACACGGAGGATCCCTGCACAAGGACAAGGGCTGTTGGGGGTAAGACCCATAGGCTTCCCCCAGTCCCACATGTGGCCCACCTATGGCCAGTCCCACACACCTTGATTGCCAGCTGTTAAGAAATGTAGGCCTGAGTTCTTCACACCCAGCACAGGCAATGGCTCCTCAGGCAATAGCACAGCAGCTTCCATACTCTATGGATAAGCTGGGTCAGGTCAGGGGTTACAAACCCATGTACCCCATTCTTATCCCTGGCCTTCAGGTGCCCTACCTCAAACACTGGCACTGTCCTTGTGGCCTGGCAACTCTGAAGGTCCCAGATCATGCAGATCTTGTCTCGACCAGAGCTGAAAAGAAAGAACACACTTAGCTCCAGTCTCAGCCTTGGCCTCCCCTTCCTCCCAAGGCCTTTATGGTCAGCCACTAACCTGAGCATGGTATGGCCATCAGCACTAAAAGACAGTGAGGTGACAGTACTGTAGTGTGCAGTCAGTACAGTCAGGCATGTTCGGTCTTGCAGTGACCACACACGGATGGTGGTATCCACTGCTGAGAAGAGCAGCAGGCGAGTGGGGTCCGGGTGGAAGGCAACCAAACTGTAGGCAGGCAGGGACAGTGAGCTATGATCCCAAGGGTGGCACCTCTGCTCTCTCCCTCCACCACTTCACTCACTGTACAACACCAGGTGAGCCCCGAAAGTGGTGTGTCCCATAGTGCCGCACAATGTCCCAGACGCGCACAGCCCCATCACAGCCACCTGTGGGAATGTGTTTGAAGTAAGGGTGTCCAAAGTAACTACCCTTGTACCCTTTAGCACACCCACCCAGTTGGGGCCCTACCTGTGGCTAGCAGTGTAGAGGTGGGGTCAAAGGCCATGGAAGCCACGGGAGCTGTGTGTATTGCCTTCCACAGGCGGGTGACACTGCCTTCTCGCCAGGCCCACTGAGCTAACAGCAGTGCCCGGCTGGCTGTCACCAATACCTGGGGAAAAATAGGGGGCAGTTCAGCTGGGGGGCCAGGTACCCTTGCTAATCCTGTGTGCAAGGGAAGTACCAGAGCTCAACTACTACCCCTACCCATCATACCTCATCATCAGGGCTGAGATCAAAAGTAGTGATGTCTTCTTGGTCCTCCTAAGGAAAGAGTGGAAATACAGAGCACCATGAGAATGTACTGCCCTCCCCACCAGTCCCTCACACCTGTCAGCCTGTTCTCACCTGCTCCAGGCTCCGTATCAAAGCCCCTGAGGCCACATCCAGGATGTTGACTTTGGTACCACAGACACAGAAGAGATGCTGGCCAGTCTGGTCCAGCTAGGGACAAAGGGTCTCAGCCAAGGCAACACTCTGCTACCCCTACTCCCTCATCCCCAACTGCCCCTGGAGTAGGTACCTGTGCTTTTCCACCCCTGTAGAAAGGTTCAATCTTTCGCTCAATAGCATAGCTAGAAAGGGAACAGAGCAGTGCGTAATTACTCCTTTGCTCCAGGACCCAAGCCCTGTGCTAGGTGCTTTCCCAGAGGTTAGCCCAAGTCCTTGCCCTTTCGCGGCAACAGGGAACAGGGGGACAATTAGCAGCTGTTTGTGTAAATGCTGCTATCTTCATATTACAAGGAGGTTGAGGCCCAGAACTAGTTGGTGATCTATAGCTCTGTGGAACTCAAGGATCATGGGGTCGTTATACAGCGTTAAGACCCAGCGCCCTGGATCACTGAGGACATCCCCTCATTGCCCCCCGCTTTTCCCAACCACCCGAATCTCCTCCGCCTGCTAGTGATGGTTCTTAGTTTCTCGCTGCAGTCCTGTGCTCAACTCGCCAGACGTGCTCTTCCTCAGGGATTTCTCATGCCCACTCCACGCCTCCTCATGTACGTGGTTGCCGGGCCTCCTCTTCCTGACAGCGGTCAATGCCGCCTTCTATTCCCGCAGCCTCATCTACGACCCCATGCACTACGTGCCTCCCCTTGACCCAAATGGCTCCGAGTTCACGCGCGTCCCCCCGCCGCCTCCGCACCAGCGTTGCGGACTTACTTGGCCTTAAAGCGGCCCACTCCCGCCGTGGTCTCAGCCATATCCCGTGGCCGCCGCAGCTGCCCAGCCGCGTGACACACACAAACTGACTACTCTGTACTATCGGGCGCGTTGTGATGACGTCACGACACGCAAGTATTTTGGCGCTTCCAGTGCGCGCTGGGCATCCGGTTTGCTGTGGGAGGTGGCTCCAGGGTCGGTGAGAAGCTAGAGGAAGTATTACCAGCTTGTCGCTCGCCATCTTACATTTTATTATTATTATTAATCATTATCATTATTATTATTATTTTGGTCTTTTTGAGACCAGGTCTCGCTGTAGCCCCAGCTGTCCTGGAACTATGTAGACCAGGCTGGCCTTGAACTCACAGAGATCCGTCTGCCTCTGCCTCCCGAGTGTTGGGATTAAAGGCGTGTGCCACCACGCCCGGCCATTTTATTATGTTTTTATTTAATTTTATTTAAATACTTATTTTTCAAATTACTTATAATTTAAAATTACCTCTCACGTGGGACCTTGCCAAGAATTTAGAGTGTTTTTTTTTTTAAATTTTATGTGTATGAGTGTATTGCCCGCATGAAGGTGAGTGAACCCGGGTGGTGCAATACCCGGGAGGACAGAAGAGGCTGTTGGTTCCCCTGGAACTGAAGTTATGGACATTTGTTAGCTGCCATGTTGGGTGCTGGGATTCGAACCTGGGTCTTCTGCAAGAACAGTGTTCTTAACCGCTGAGCCTTCTCTCTAGCCCCAAAATATGGTTTTTTTTTTTTTTTTTTTTTCTTTTTTTTTGGTCTTTTCGAGACAGGGTCTCCCTGTAGCCCCAGCTGGCCTTGAACTCACAGAGATCTGCTTGCCTCTGCCTCCTGAGTGCTGGGATTAAAGGCGTGTGTCGCCACCCTGGCTAGAATTTTTTTTGTTGTTTTATTTATTATTTAAGGCAGGCAGGATCTGTATATTTAGCTGGTTATATATTTAGTTTTAGACACGGTACTGCTAAAGGTACTGACCCAGGCTGTCATGGAACTCAGTGTAGTAGTCCAGGTTTGCTCCCGGGCACAAGATTTGTTTTATTTTGAGATAGTTTCTCTGTAGCCCCAGCTGGCTGGAACACTCAGTGTAGGCCAGGCTGTCCTAGATTCCCTTGCCTCTGCCTCCCAAGTGCTGGGACTAAAGGCGTGGGTTTTGGTTGTGGCTCAAGATCTCCCTGTGTCAGTCTCTTGAGGGCTGAGATTGCCAGTGCACATCACTACACCTTCTTTGCAGGCTACCTTTTTTTTTTTTTGTCTTTTTGAGACAGGGTCTCCTTGTAGCCTCAGCTGTCCTGGAACTCACTATGTAGACCAGGCTGGCCTCGAACTCAAAAAGATCCGCCTGCCTCTGCCTCCCAAGTGCTGGGATTAAAGGCGTGCACCACCACACCCGGCTCAGGCTACCTTTTATCGTGTTTGTGCATGTGCCCAGCGTCAGCCATGGTGTATGTGTGGAGATCAGAGGACAGTTTTCAGGAGTAGGTTTTCTCCTTACACCATATTGTGTCCCAGGATTCACCTCAGGTCATCAGGCAGGCACCTTTACCCACTGAGCCACCTCTCAACTCAGGCCTTTTGGCCTAAGATGTTTAAAATGCTTTTAGAGGCTGGTGTGGTGGCACTTGCCTTTAATCCTAGCACTCCCAGAGGCAGAGGCAGGCAGATCTCTCTGAGATGGAGGCCAGCCTGCTTTACATAGTTCCAGGCCAGCTAGTGCTACAGGGAGACTGTCTCAAAGAAAAAATAAAATAAAAAGGAAAAAGAAAAAAGCCTTTTGGAAGTGCTTGCTTCTGTGTCTCAGCAGGTGTGGTTAGTGCATGAGTGGGGATCATGATAAATGAATAAATCAGGGAATTCCAGTCATTAAATATCTGAGAACAGTCCAAGGAGAAAGGTCAGTGTTAGATATGGAAGGTAAGCAGGGGTGACAAAGGCAACAGCAAGTGGAAAGCAGCACATAGACAGCAGGTGCAGAGGAGGTGAAGTGGGCCAGGTCAGGGCTTCTTTATTTAACTCCTCTATAAGACCACGTTGGCCCTGTGCCTCCCACACTTCAGATTCTGGGGTGACCTCAGCCTCCTGGGTGTGGGCACTCAGGAGCAGGGCATCATCCTCCAAGAAGTTGCCCAGCTGAGCCAGCTGCCTGCGGATGAAGTTGGTGGTGCGGTGAACCCGGCGCACATGCCCCAGCAGGCTCAGCAGCAGGGTCCGGTTGCGCTCGTGACACTGGCCCCAGGCGTCACACAACTCATGGTAGCAGTTGTGTTGTGCATGCTCTGAGGCAGCCAGAGTGGCTCCGCGGCCTGAGGGGCAGCAGTGCTGACCACCTTGCTGGCAATACTGGCAGTGTTCAGCCAGGACGCCTCGCAGCACTTGTGCAGTGCAGCCCTCATTGGGGCAGTCCGTCAACTCGAATGGGCATGAGTCCTGGTGCTCCTTTCGATAAGCCAGGGGGCATGTCACCAAGCAGCCAGCTACAGCGTTCTTGCACTGAGGAGTACCAGAAAGTTCAATGTTAGCTAAACCATGTCAGGCACTTTGTCACCAGTTGGGTCCTCCATGAAATCCCCAATCCATGACATCGACTGACCAAGAATAAATGTGACCTGGAAAGCCTCCCAAGCTTTTGTGATTCCAAGTTTCTTCATCTTGTAAAATAGAGGACTGAAGACTAATGGCTAACACACCAGACCCTCATCCCTTAAAATTCATCTATAATTCCCACTTTACATCTGAAGCTCTGTGGGCTCCAGAAGGTTAAGTAGTTTGCCCAAAGTCACACAGCAGCTAAGTGGTAGAGCCATCAGGTGTATAACCCCGGTGCTGCATTTGGTTCTATTTGAGAAAAGGTTGCCTCTTCTCCTGGCTCTGCCCCACCTCCATAAGGGTAATGGGAGTGGATGCTCAGAGCTACCTTGACATGCAGGTGGCCAATGGTTTTCCGGAGTTTATTCACATGGACCATCTTTCTCCTTTTCACCTCTTTTCTACAGCATGGACAGGTATTTTGTCTGGAAGGAGGCATGAGTAGAGGTGTTGGGAGTGAAGGGACAAGTGGAGGTCATATACCTCCCAGGGCAAGTGTTTATGGGGTGACCCAGCTAGTCCTGGCTGGGGCCAGGGACTTCAGACACCAGGGAGTGAGGGCACACACATGCTTTAGTGTCCCAGATTTTGCAGCTGAGACAAAGCTTTTGGGACTCAGTGTTTGGCACTTTCTCTGCTTGGCCATAAGAACTGACCCCCAGCCCTCAACCCTGCCCTCCTGGGTTCCCAGTGGTACCTGGTTAGCCAATGGAGGATGCACTTTTTGCAGAAGATGTGGCTGCATGACAACCTCACTGGTCTCTTGAGAACCCCATGACAGACAGAACACAAGAAGTTGCAGTCAGGAGGGTTGGCAAAGAGGTTGATATCATAACCACCACTCTGCAAAGTTCAGGTCAGTGTTAGGGCCTGAGTGGGACCAAGCTCCAAGCCCCATCTCCATACTGTCCATACCCAGCAGACATAACAGTTTTGGGGTGGGAAGGCAGACTACATGAGAACAGAGCATGCAGGGGTTAGTACCCATTTTAAAGGTCAATCTGTAGGGGCTAACTCCTCCAAGATTACCAATCCAAACTGGATGGAAGAGCTGGGATGGCTCCAAGTCAGACCCAGCTAGAGCCTTCCAAAAGGCTTTATATCCCATAAAGAGGCTGTCATTATCCGCTTTCAGAATAGGGTCCATTCCTGGACAGCTGGATAGGTAGCTGGATGTGGATACAAATCTTAGCTGGAGGCAAGAGATCAGGGTCTTACCATGACCAATGTCTGCAGCTCCACTGAGGCCCAGGGCTCAGGAGCCTTCATTTCATAACCTGTGTGGGCTGACATCACAGTGGCATTGTCCAGCTTGGACCAATCATAGCTCTGGTGCAGGATCTACTGGGACCTTATGGCCACCTAACCTTAGCTGACCCCTCTGAAAGTGAGCAGTAGGGTAGCTTCAACTCAGGATCAGTCTATGGTTGTGTCTGACAGCCTATATCCAAGAAAGAACCAAGCTTATAAAGGTTGGTTCCCCTAGGCTAGCAGGATCACAGAGACTCCACCAGGTGGTCCAAAGCTCAGGGGACTGAGACAAAGACTCACCTGTTTGCTTCACTAACATCCCTCAAATCCCATAGTTGGTGGCTCATCCTATTTAAAAACCCTCTTTTTCAGACAGGCCAATGTGTCTGTAAGGAAGGCCTTGGGGAAGTAACAGCTGGGGGATACATGTAGTAGGACTTTTTCGTCCCAGTGTGATGTCCATATTGGAACAGAGATTATCTTCACCAGATAGTCACAGAATACAAAGCCTAAGGTAATAGTAATGGAGCTGTTGACATTCGTGAGTCTCACTCCTTCCTCTTCTCCCCCAGTGCAAGTTATCTATGGTAGGATGAGACTTAGTGAAGTAGGTGTTTTGGGGTTACCCACATATCTGTTAGTAACCCCTCACCCATGCTCTGTATGTCCAATAAACTCATTGGTTTGCCAAGCTGGAATTTTACTTTGGCTGACATTGGTGCGCTATCTGGGGTGAACAGATGTGCCTCCTCAGGAAAATGCAAAACTCTTCCCCATAGGTACATCATTGATGTATTTGCAAGTTCACCTCAGCCTAGGTGATCATACCAAGATCTTCTGCCTCCCAAGTGCTGAGATTGAAAGCGTGTGCCACCATGCCTGGCCCATGATCTTTCACTTTTTAAAATTACTTCATGTGTATGGCCTGCATGCATTTCAAGTGCACTCCTGTTGTGAAATGCCTTTAGAGGTCAGAAGAGGGCATCTGATCCCCTGAACTGGACTTACAAATGATTTTAAGCCACCATGTGGGTGCTAGGACTCGAACCTGGGTCCTCTGCAAGAGCAGCCAGTGCTCTTAACCACTAAGTCATTTCTCCAGCCACCATTATCATTTCAAAAAAATTTTTATGTGCATGAGTGTACTGCCTGCATGCATGTAAGTGCACCCATGTCATACAGGGCCCCAGATCCCCTGCAACTGGTGTTACTGATGGTTGTTAGCTGACATGTGGGTGTTGAGATCCCTTGGTGTTAACTGAGCCATCTCTTCAGCCCCTCCAGATTAATTTTTATGTCAAGTATTTGCCTACATGTATATCACGTGCATGCTTGGTGCCTGAGGGAAATCTGAAGAGGGTGTTGGGTTTCCAAGAGATTTACAGATGGTTGTGAGTCACCACATGGATGCTGATAACTAAATGTGGTCCCTGCAAGCAGTTTTAATCTCATGAGCCATCTCTCCAGCCCCACTAGTCATATTTAAAAGAACCCAACACTGTCCAGAAAGCACTGAAAACTCAAAGGCTATACTCTACTCTATCAACCTTGTTAGGGGTTTGCTCCCCTGACCTTCATTCAGCATACTTTACCTGCTGGACCACACATACACTTAGGTTGTCACATGCTAAACTTCCAAATTCTACCTGTGCCTCAAAGAGTTGGAAGCTCATGTAGAGTTCGAGAGACTGGCGAGTAAACTGCACAGTTTTAGCCCTCCTGACACTGCAAGACATCCACCACTACAACCCCCCAGGGGGTTTAAAAAAAAAAAAAAAAGATGGGCAGATCTGGTGGAAACTCTAAGGCCCGCCCCTGCAATAGTAGGGACAAATGCATTTTCCAACCAGATAGGCGGGGGCCCCCCAAAAGATACGTTACAGGAAACAATTTAATTTGAGAAATGGGGACAACCAAATCCTTCCATTTTTGCACTCCGGGCGGCGGCCTTCAGTTACAGTGGAACCTGCGAAGGAAGGACAGGGTTAGGACCGAGGCCAAAGGCTCAAGAACCGCAGCGCGAAGGTGCTTGTGGGGGCCTGGGTTTCACCCTCCTACATCGTGGCAGCTGGCGGTGAGCTGAGGCCCCTGGTGGCTCTGGGCGCCGAATCTCAACCCAGGCCACGACCAAGGCCAGAGATGATTTTCAACAAACGCCGGCTAATCCCGGAGGCCTGGGGATGCAACCTACCTGAAAACCTCAGCGCCGCGCACCGAAAGGAACCCAAGGCCTAGCAAGCGGTGACGCACGTATTTATAGCAGCTTCCGGGCAGGGCCCGTCCCGCCAGGGCGCAGGCCAGTGCGCAGGCGCCCGCAGAGAGCGGTGGGGGCGGGACAACGCGGAGTCAATTACAGCCTTTTGCAGGCGTTTTGCGAAAGGAGTCCAGCTCTCGCGGTGCTTGGAGTGCCATAAAGCTGCCCTCCCGTGAGGTTTCGCTCTTCTTCCTCGGGAAACACGTGAGTCTTTCTGTCTTATTTGCCGAGTAAGGTCTTTGTAGCGGAAATCGGTGGACATCGGCCATCCCCCTAGGACTGAAGACCTCCGTGTAGGCGGTCGCGGAGCCCACCGTCCTTTTGACTTGCTCCTTGTATTTTGCCTTTTTCCATAGCAAATGGCGGATGACGCCGGTGCAGCGGGAGGGCCCGGAGGACCCGGAGGCCCAGGCTTGGGAGGCCGCGGCGGCTTCCGTGGAGGATTTGGTAGCGGTCTACGGGGCCGCGGTCGGGGCCGCGGTCGAGGCCGCGGTCGGGGCCGTGGGGCTCGTGGAGGCAAAGCTGAAGACAAGGAGGTAGGAGTGGGCGGTAGGCCGGGTAGGCCTGGGTGGGTGCCGCGGAAACGGCTCCGTTGACTGTCGTCCTTTACCCGCAGTGGATTCCAGTCACCAAGCTGGGCCGTCTGGTCAAGGATATGAAGATCAAGTCCCTGGAGGAGATCTACCTCTTCTCCCTGCCCATTAAGGTACAAAGTGGACTAAGCTGCAGGAGCAACGTTTGGGCGGGGTTCTGCACGACTGCATGGAGACAATTCAGGATGTTTGGAGAGGTCCTTGAGTGATCCGAAATTATTGCCCGGGGGTGAGGACTCGATTACGAGTAGGCTCTTAGACGTGGTGGGAAGCAACTTCGTGGTTTTCACAAGTTTGTTTTGTTACAGGAATCCGAGATTATTGACTTTTTCCTGGGAGCATCTCTTAAGGATGAGGTTTTAAAGATCATGCCAGTGCAGAAGCAAACCCGGGCTGGCCAGCGGACCAGGTTCAAGGTATCAGGGTTGTTCTTGGAAAGGTTGGACTATTAGTATCATAAGGGCCGAACAAACCTCTCTCACTCTGCATAGTTACACTTGGTTTCACCTGTGTAACTTTCGTACCGGGAGAGAGAGGAAAGAGCTCTTCAGGACCTTGGATTGGCCTCATAGTGGCCTCTCTTGCCTAGAAGAACTCCACAGTTCTTTTTTTTTTTTTTTTAATGTGTCAGTACTGGCAGCACCAGCCACCTCATACAAATCTGCAAATCTCTTTGCAGGCTTTTGTCGCCATTGGGGACTACAATGGTCATGTTGGTCTGGGTGTTAAGTGCTCCAAGGAGGTAGCCACTGCAATTCGAGGGGCCATCATCTTGGCCAAGCTTTCCATTGTCCCTGTTCGGAGAGGCTACTGGGGAAACAAGATTGGCAAGCCCCATACCGTCCCCTGCAAGGTGACAGGCCGTTGTGGCTCTGTGCTGGTGCGCCTCATCCCTGCCCCCAGAGGCACTGGCATTGTCTCTGCTCCTGTGCCCAAGAAGCTACTGATGATGGCGGGTATTGATGACTGCTACACATCAGCCAGGGGCTGCACTGCCACCCTGGGTAACTTTGGTAGGTTGGCTATAGCCTCTCTTCAGCTCCACTGGAGCACACAGGTCCAGTGTGTTTTTAGGTATTTTTAGGGAGAGAGAGGAAGGCCCTCCTAATGCACGACAGACCCGCCCCAAAGTGGCTTTCCTGTTCCTAGGAGTGTGACAGCTTCTCTTAATTTTGGGAGTGGGAGGGATTTTAAGCCAGGCCACCAGCCAACCCTTGTGCTTGTTCTCCAGCCAAGGCCACCTTTGATGCCATCTCTAAGACCTACAGCTATCTGACCCCTGACCTCTGGAAAGAGACTGTCTTCACCAAGTCTCCCTATCAGGTACTGCTTGAACCAGCTTTTTTTTTTTTTTTAGCATTTTTTTGGTTATATACCTAAGAGGGTAGGGGCATGCTAGTAAAAACTCCATTGGGTGGGTTTTTTTTGTTTTTTTTTTTTCAGGAATTCACAGATCATCTTGTGAAGACCCACACCAGAGTCTCTGTGCAGAGAACCCAGGCTCCAGCTGTGGCTACTACCTAGGGTTTTTATATGAGAAAAATAAAGTGAATTAAGTCTGTTAAGGCTTGTCTTTGTCTTGAGACCAGGACACCAGAAACACAGGCAGTGCACTTGTTTTATTTCACTTAGCAATGCAATCTTGAGTCATAGTGAAAAATTGTGGGATTCAGGCCGCCGCCGCTTCCTTAGCAGCCTTTCTCTCTGCCAGCATCCTGTGCTTCTGCTTTGCCAGGCACTTTCTGGCAGAATAATGGGCCCCCAAGTCATAATCTGGAGGAGAGGGAGAATTTGATAGAAGCATGAGCAAGGTCATACTTGCCTAGGGAAATCAAGTATGTAAGTAGAAAGCAATACACCCCCTCCCCAAAGGCATACACCCTCAAGGTGTCTGGGGTGTGAAGGGTCTCACTGCGGGTTCAGGTAGTGTGCCCACAGCTATATGGGAAAAGCCAAGTTATGGGGTCACTCACAGCGGTCATGGTAGGCCTTAGCCACCTGGGTGAACTGCTCCAGCTCCTTGGCACAGTTCTGCTTGTAGCTCTCGCCTTCCCTCTGCTGACAGGCCCTGAGCCTTTCTTGAATGATGTTGATGATTTCCTGGTCAACTTTGCTGTAAGAACAGGACAAGGGTGGCTGTCCCAAGAATACAGTGGAAGGACTAGGGGTCTCCCCCAGCCCCAGGTCTTTACCAGGAAGCTATCCCACTGAATCTGTAGCCAGTGTCCCTTTCTCACTTACTAGTCCCTTCTCCATTGCATCTCGGCCTCAAAGATGCACAGGATATCATTCTCCTTGCACTCTGTGATGTCTGGCACACGACGGTACTGCCGGTGGTAGTAATAAATACGGTTTTTGGTGTGCTGCCGCTCTATGAACTCTGCAAAGAAGACAACTCAAACTTAATGGCCTGTTGGTTTGGTTTTGGAGCCCAGGAGTACACCTTTTACATAAATAGGTAGTTGGACTGTTCAGTGTCGGTCAACAGAGTTCTGTGATGAACTGGATACCTCAAGATGGCTGGACTCATCTCTACAGCACACGGTTTGAGTTAACAAGGAGGTCCCTATAGGGAGTCACCAATACAACCTAGACTCAATCCCTTTGGGCACAGTGCTCCCCACTGGTAAACAGCTGGACAGCACCATCCAGACAGAAAAGACTTCTCAGATGCTACAACAGAGGGAGCTGTCTACTGCAGTACTACACCTGACCCTTGGAAATTTGGTTTGCAGATTTTGACCTAACCCAAGGACCCCCAGTAAACCAAGGGCAGTGGCATGTGCCTGTAGTCAAAGCTAGTTGGAGGCTGACACAGGATTTGCTATGTTATCTTGGACAACAGAGATGTCTGAACAAAGAAACCACTATCACTATAAGATCCTCAACTCTGAGAAGAGGGAAAGCAAACCAGCTGAAATGCTGAATAAAGAAGCTACTCAAACCAGGATGGTGGAACACGCCTTTAATCCCAGCACCTGGGAGGCAGAAGCAGGCCATGAGTTAGAGGCCAGCCTGGTCTACATAGCCAGTTCCAGGCTAGCTGGGGGATACAGGGAGACCATCTCAAAACAAAAAAGAAGCTAATTAGCATGTTCTGAGGGGCTGGAGAGATGGGTCAGCGGTTAAGAGCACTGGTGGTTCTTGAGAGGACCTGGGTTCGATTCCCAGCACCCATGTGGCGTCTAACAATAGTCTGTACTGTAACTCCAGTTCCAGGGGAATTGGACGTCCTTTTCTGACCTCCGTGGGCACTGCACGATATGGGTGCACTCAACATACATGCAGGCAATACACTCATACACATTAAAAAATTAAAAAAAAAAAAATTAGCATTCTTGGGGCTGGAGAGATGACAGGGGTTAAGAACACTGGTTGTTCTTGCAGAAGACCCAGGTTCGAATCCCAGCATTCACATGGCAGCTAACAACTGCCTGCAACTCCAGTCCCAGGGGATCTGACAGCCTCTTCTGACCTCCGCGGTCATTGCACGACACGGGTACACTTGCCTACATGCAGGCAATATACGCAAACACATAAAAATAAAAAATTAGCATTCTTTGCATCCCAAATGCTGAATAAGCTACTAATTGAATGAACAACGTGCTCTAGCTGCTGCCCATGCTGCTAACAAACAGGACCACAAAGGGATGAATGGAGCATTCTCCGAGACCAGAAAGGTAAGTTGGTCGTTATAACTTTGCACGGGTGGTGAATGAACTGTGACCCAAAAGAAACTAATGCATCCTGAGGGAATGCAGATGGACAACAAACCTGTCCATGTCAACAAAAGCCTCTTAACCGCCTACAGGTGCCCACCAAGCAAAGCACCTTGCAAATGGGCTAGATTCCCGACCAGTAACGTTTGAGTGAGGTCGGGGGTGGGGGTGGGGGCAGAGGGCAACCAAGGGATTCAGTTTAAGGCCGAGAAAGAATCACGACGAGGAAGGAGTCCCAAGAGGCCAACTGTCCCAGAGTGCAGCGGGGGCGAGGGGAGGTCCTAGAAAGTGGTTCGGGTACAGTGGGGAAGCAAAAAGAGGTGAGGGCTTAGGGTGTTCCGGGTAAGGGGTTCCAGGTACCGCAGAGGGTGTTCCGGGTGCAATGGGGGTCAAGGGAAGAGACTTGAGACTCTGGGTGCGGAGCAGCGGCATGCAGCTTACAGTAGTACCGGGGGACGGGAAGTGAACACGGGATTCGCAGGGGAATGGGGGTCTCCGTAGGGCGGGCGTAATCCGAGCCCCGTACCTCTCACGAGGGTCACGGGCCAGTCCACGACGAGGTCGAAGGCCTTCGTCAAGAAGATGATAGGGTTGGGCAGCGAGGTCTTCGGCGAGGGTGCCGGCGTGCGGCGGGGGGATTCAGGGTACACATCCTTGTCCCAGGAGTCCGGCATGGCTGCACACGCGCCCAGCGCGGACTTCCACCTCAACCGACGTCCGGACTAATTTGCCCTGCGGAGGACGCAGGCACCTCTACGCTTGCGCGGAAGGGCTGCAGCTGCGTCGGCGCCGAGGTTGGGGGTGTCGCAGGGAACCACGGGACTGTAGCTCGCCATGCGAGCCCCCTTGTGGCATCCGGCGCTATCGCACCGGTGGGCTCCGCCTGCTTTAGTTGGACAGAAGCCAGGAAACCAAGAAATGCTTTGACCTGGGCCTACAACTAAGGGCTGCAGAAAGAAGAGTGAACACTGATTGCCTGGCACTATGGAGAGCACAGGCTGGTAGAGTACACACACAACAAATAGGCCAATAAATAATAAATAACACGTTTGGTGTAAACGTCCGCCCTACTCCAGGAAGGCCTGCTGGACTGCCCAACCCTCTAGTCTGCTGGGGGATCTGGGCTGTGCCTGGGCCCCTCATGTGCTGGTGAGTACAGTGAGCTTGGGGGTCTCTCTTGGCAGAGGGATTGGCAGGACTTAACCCTCTGTGGCCCATAGGGAAAAGCAGTTCCCATTCTTGGCACAGGGTGCTTTGCCCTATTTCTGAAGATTCTGTTCTGGTCCCAAGTTCTGTGCCCCACTACACTGGCCAATATCTGATATCGCACCTGTCTGTCATCCAAGTGCCGGTCACTGCCTGGCCAGAGTTGGAGACTGAGGACATAGAGCTATCAGCTATAGGGATTCAATGCATCTAGAATTACAGAAACATCAGCTTGTGACACAGAAGTCAGACCCATGAATCTTAACATTTTTTTTAAGCATAGAATCTTAGTATCTAATGTAGAATCCATTTTCTCTGAGGAATATCTTTGTCTTAGGGTACTCAGTGATTCTACAGCTACAGAACCATATAACAATAGAATCTTGGGATTGAAAAATAAGTAGGCACAATGGTGCAAGCCTGTAGTCACAGCTACACATAAGGCTGAGGCAAGATGATCATTTCAGAGGCAGAGGCAGATGGATCTCTGTGAGTTCAAGGCCAGCCAGCCCGGTCTACATAGTGAGTTCCAGGCCAGCTGGGGCTACAAGGACAGCCTGTCTCAAAAAAGAAAGGAAAAAAGATGATCACTTAAGTTGAGTTCAAGACTAGCCTGGGGAGCCAGATATGTGAGTTCATGACTATAAGCCTGGCATTTGGGAGGCTGAGGCAGGAAGATTGTCATGAGTTCAAGTCCAGCCTGGGATACAGGGTGAGACTTTTCTCAAAACAAAAAGCAGCTAGATGTGGTGGCACACACCTTTAATCCCAGCACTCAGGAGGCATATGCAGGTGGATCTCTATGAATTTGAGCCTAGCCAGGGCTACACAGTGAGACACTATCTAAAAAAAAGGGGGGGGGGCAGAGGCTGGAGAGATGGCTTAGCAGTTAAGAGCACTGACTGATCTTGCAGAAGACCCGGGTTCAATTCCCAGTACCCACATGGCAGTTAAGGACTGTCTTTTTTTTTAAATTTTATTTTATGTGTATGCGTGTATTGCCTGCATGTATATAAATGCACCCGTGTCGTGCAATGCCCACGGAGGACAGAAGAGGCAGTCAGATCCCCTGGAACTGGAGTTATGGACAGTTGTTAGTTGCCATGTGGGTGCTGGGATTTGAGCCTGGGCCTTCTGCAAGAACAGTCAGTGTCTTAACTGCTGAGCCATCTCTCCAGCCCAAGAACCGTCTTTAACTCCAGTTCCAGGGGAATTCGATGCCCTCTTCTGACCTCTGGGGCATTGTACGACACAGGTACACTCATATACATATTGAGTGCAGGCAATGCACTCATAAACATAGAATAAAACTAAATAAAACATTCTTTAAAAAGAAAGGAAAAGAAAAAGGTAGGGCTGAGGATGTAACTCGGTTGACAGAATGCTTGCATACATAAAGCCCTGGACTTGATTCCAAGCACAGTATAAACCAGGTATAGTAGTAGTATACATCTATAATCCCAGCACTTGGGATGTGGAGGTAGTAGGATCAGGAGTTCAAAGCCATCTTTGTCTACATAGCATGTTCCAGGCCAGCCTGTGATACATAAGACCCTGTCTCAAAAAAACAAAAACAAAAAAAAACAAATAGAAAAAAGTAAATTCATACATGTAAATGCTCATTAGTCCCAGGGTGTTAAGGCCAGAAGTCTGATCTTGATCTTTTATTTTTTCTTTTTTTGTCTTTTTTGAGACAGGGTCTCCCTGTAGCCCCAGCTATCCTGGAACTCACTATGTAGACCAGGCTGGCCTTGAATGTACAGAGATCTGCCTGCCTCCACCTCCCAAGTGCTGGAGCTACAGGCCTGTGCCACCATGCTGGCTTTGATCTTGATCTTGATGGTGATAAGGTCAGCCCCACCCATCTCAACTCCCACCAAGAAGTCCAGCTGACAGCTCTCAGGACTAGAAGACTCCTCTACCAGACTCAGACTTTCCTCTTGTCTGCAGCCTGAGAACAGCAGTCCCCAAATCCCTCTAATCTAGGGCACCTTGTGCCTGTCAGGCCACAGTGGTCCTGTCCTTGAAGAGTTGTCACCCAGCTCCAGAACTACAGAGGAAAGAAATGCTAGTCCTGGTTCCAGGTGTCCTGACTGCAGGCTGCCCATCTGATACCCCTCCCAGGTTTGCTGCTGGCACCAAAGGCCATGCTGGCCACAGGGGCTGACTGAGGTATCCGCCAGAGCTAAATCTGGGATCTGGCAGCTGGGTGCCTTGGCCCTATCACTCGACCTCTGGTGCCTGGTGGGGAGGCCCCTTCCTGACTTGCAGGGAATCAGCCATGGTCAGTGGGCTGGGGCTATACCCAGGGGAGGGGGTTCCTTAATGTCCTTGGGGCTGTGAAATATGGGAAGTTTGAAGAGGCAGCAAAGGGTCAGGGCTGGGCTGTTGGGCCTAGAGGTGGACAGACCTCACTTGCCCCTTTACTTTACTGTCTTAGATCCTCCTAGGTCTTGCCAGGTTGAGTTCACAGAGACAGGAAGCCCATGGGTGTAGAGACCCCCATCCCTAAATCTCCACCATTTGTTCTGTAGATAGATGGAGTGGCACTGAGGATTGGCTGGACCTCTGCCTCAGGCTTCTAGCCCACCTCGGGTGGGTTGGGGTTCTGGATCATCCTGCAGTCACCCAGAGAGAAACCTCAGCACTGACTTCCTCCCTTCTTCCTACCCTCAGTCCCACCGGAAGTTCTCTGCTCCTCGCCATGGACACCTGGGCTTTCTGCCCCACAAGAGGAGCCAGCGGCACCGGGGCAAGGTGAAGACATGGCCTCGGGATGACCCCAGCCGGCCTGTGCATCTCACAGCCTTCTTGGGCTATAAGGCTGGCATGACCCATACCCTCCGAGAGGTGCATCGCCCAGGGCTCAGTGAGTCATTGAAGGGGGACACAAGGCAGAGTGGGGGATGGAATCTTCCAGATGCTAGGAGCCAGAGATTGCTCTTGTGGTCCAGGAGGGGTCACAGTCCCCAAAAAGATGAGGTCCTGTCCAGGGGAGTTGCCCTCAAGACAAGCAGGATCAGCAATGAACCTTGTCAAGCCCTGACCGTGGGCAATGCCTCTTAGGGGTTCTGACATTCGTAGTTTAAGACTGAGGAACTGAGGCATGGAGAAGCTAGAAAACTAGCCCCAGGTATTTAGTAAGTGGACAAATTGGTATTCAAATGTGGGTACCCTTGTGGGGCTCAGTTCTGTAATCCCAGCTACTCAGGATGCTAAGGCAGGAGGATTGCAGGTTTGAGGCCAGCCTGGGTAATTTAGTGAAAGTCTGTCTTAAAATAAAGGTACTGCTGGGCGTGGTGGCGCACACCTTTAATCCCAGCACTTGGGAGGCAGAAGCAGGCGGATCTTTGTGAGTTCAAGGCCAGCCTGGTCTACATAGTGAGTTCCAGGACAGCTGGGGCTACAAGGAGACCCTGTCTCAAAAAGACAAAAAATAAATAAATAAATAAAATAAAGGTACTAAGGGGCTAGAGAGATGGCTCAGTGGTTAAGAACACTCACTGTTCTTGCAGAAGACCCAGGTTTGAATCCCAGCACCCACATGGCAGCTAACAACTGTCTGTAACTCCTGTTCCAGGGGATCTGACAGCCTCTTCTGTCCTCTGTGGGCACTGCACAACACGGGTGCACTTACCTACATGCTGGCACACCACTCATACACATAAAATAAAAATAATAAAATATTAAAAAAAATAAAGGTACTAAAAGAATTGGGGATGTGGCTCTGTGGTAGAGTGTTTACCTTACATACTCAAAGTCCTAGGTTCAATCTCCAGCACTGCTAAAAATAAGATAGTAAAAATATAAAAAGGTGGGTGATCTCATCAAACCTCCTCCACAGTGTCTACCTTTTTGACTGTACAGCATATATTTAGTTTTTCTTTCATTTTGTCATAGGATAACTGTACATGTACATGTAGGTATGAGAAATAGCTATGCTACCGATATGGATAAAATCCAAGCCTCCTACACCATTTCTCCAGCCCTGAAACCTGATTTTTTTTTTTTTTTTTTGAGACAAGATCTTACTACATAGCCCAGGCTGAAAGTGATCCTGTCTTAGTCTACTGAGTGCTAGGATTTCAGGCATGTGCCACATACCCAGCTTTCCTCAGTTCTGCATGCTTTCATGGGTCACTTGTGTGAATTTATGTACCTGCTTCCTCTGTCCAGGTGCCCAACAACCCTGCTCTGTGGGGCACTAGGCTGCCCTTATATAGCCAAGTCTACTCTGGCTCTCCCCAGCTTCCTGGCAACACTCTGCTCTCCACCCTATTACACAGGTTCCCTCCCTCCCTCCCTCCCTCTCTCCCTCTCTCCCTCTCTCCCTCCCTCTCTTCTCTCTCTCCTCCCTCCCTCCTTCTTTCTCTTCCATCTTTTCTTTCTCTTCTCTCCCTCTCTCTCACCCTCCCTTCCTTTCTTCTCTCCTTCCTCAATCCTTTCCTCCCTCCCTTTTTTTCAATTTCCTTCCTTTCATTTTTAGAGTATTTATTTATTTATTTATTTATTTTTGGTCTTTTTGAAGCAGGGTCTCCCTGTAAGCCCCAGCTGTCCTGGAACTCACTATGTAGACCAGGCTGGCCTTGAACTCAGAGATCCTCCTGCCTCTGCCTCCCAAGTGCTGGGACTACAGGCGTGCGCCACCACGCCCAGCTAGAATATATATTTCAACCAAGCATGTTGGCTCATGCATATAATTACAACACTTGGGAAGTGGAATCAGGAGGATCAGGAATTCAAGGCCATCCTCAGCTACACAGCAGTTTCAAAGCCAGCCTGGGCAACATGAGATCCTACCTTAAAAAAAAACAAAACCTTGAGTGTGGTGGTGTACCCCTTTGATCCCAGCCCTTGGGAGGCAGAGGCAGGCAGATCTCTGTGAGTTCCAGGCCAGCCTGGTCTACATAGCAAGTTACAGGCTAGCCAGGGCTATATAGCAAGAGCCTGTAAACAAACAAAACAATACAACCAAATCAAACCAAACCCCTTCCAAACAAACAAAATCTCAAGATGAAACCCATACTAACCAAGCACTAATACCCATGAAATCATGGGTTTCTAGGACTCTCTAGCACTAACAAAACTAAATTTACAGTTATTAAAAGTAAAAAAGCCGGGCATGGTGGTGCACGCCGGGAGGCAGAGGCAGGCAGATTGTTGTGAGTTCAAGGCCAACCTGGTCTACATAGTGAGTTCAGGTCAGCTGGGACTACAGGGAGATCCTGTCTCAAAAAGACAAAAGAAAAAAGTAAAAACCCCCCCAAAAGTTATGGTGGCCCAACTACACCCTGCAAGATAGCCTTGTTTCCTGGCCTGTCTTGTGTGGCTGGCTTCTTACTCCCTTCCCCAAGGCCTCAGGAGATTCCCTTACATCCTGTCCTTGGGTCCCAACCAGAAATTTCCAAGCGAGAGGAGGTGGAAGCGGTGACAATTGTGGAGACACCACCCTTGGTGGTGGTGGGTGTGGTAGGCTATGTGGCCACCCCTCGAGGCCTGCGGAGCTTCAAGACCATCTTTGCTGAACATCTCAGTGATGAGTGCCGCCGCCGCTTCTACAAAGACTGGTAAGGTCCTATCCCCAGCTCTGTGCTGGAGTGATGGAAGGAGGAGAAGCCTTCTCAAGGCAGGAAAGTGTGTGTAGTGCACACAGGAGTATGTATTAGAAGGCTGGAAAGGAAATTGAGGAAGGAAATTGAGGAAAAGAGGAAGCAAATATTCAAATTCTCAGGGTTGGGTTGCTGAGATGGTCCAGAGGATAAAGGTGCTTGCTAACAAACATGCCAACCTGAGTTTGATCCCTGGGATCAGGCAAAAGGAGAGAACTGATTCTATTGAGTTTTCTTCTAACTGCCACATTTGGGTTGTGGCATGTGTGCTGTGGTATGTGTACACACATTAAATAAATAATGTAGCGGGGCATGGTGGTGCATGCCTTTAATCCCAGCACTTGGGTGGCAGAGGCAGGCGGATCTTTGTGAGTTTGAGGCCAGCCTGGTCTACATAGTGAGTTCCAGGATAGCTGGGGCTACAGGAAGACCCTGTCTCAAAAAGACCAAAAAAAAAAATTTTTTTTTAGGCTTGGCCCCAGCATTTGAAAGGCAGAGGCAGGTGATCTCTGTGAATTCTAGGCCAATCTAGTCTATGTAGAGAGTTCTAGCCAGCTAAAACTCCATAGTGATATGACTCTGTCTCAAAAAATAAAAAAGAAAGCTAGGCATGGTGGCACATGCCTTTAATCCCAACACTTGGGAGGCAGAGACAGGTGGATCTTTGTGAGTTCAAGGCTAATCTGGTCTACATAGTGAATCCAGGCCAGCTGTGGCTACAGGGAGACTCTGTCTCAAAAAAGACACACAAAAAAAATTCAATGGGCTAATTTGATGAAATTTGACTCTGAGCTTCCTACCAGCCAAAGTAAAAAGAAAAAGAACCAACTAAGAGGCTCTTACACATTGGCCAAGTGTGGTGGCACCCACCTTTAATTCTGGCACTTGGAAGGCAGAGGCAAGCTGATCTCTGTGAGTTCCAGGCCAGCCTGGTCTACATAGTGAATTCCAGGCCAGGCCAGCTGCTGGGGGTCGGGGGGCGGGCGGTGGAGGCTCTTACACAGAAAGGTCCTTTCAGGCCTCTGAAATTCTGTGGCACTAAGTCCTGAAAGGGAAGGCACATCTGCCTGGGGAACCTCACCCCCCAACATCTTATGCAGACACAGGTCCACCCCTGACTCTCTATGGTAGATGATAAATAGGGGCCCCAGCATTAGTACAAGGCTGTATGACCAAGGGCAAGCTGGCTGACCTCTTACATCCCTGCACTATAAAACAGGATGAGGAATGAAGGGCAGTGAGGACTGGATGGGTAATGGATGTAGAGCATCCCCCATTGGGCAGTGATGAAAGAGCTCCAGCAGTGCTGTTTTTACTGTTTATATTATGAATTTGCCCCCCCACCCCCGCATCCCAGACTTTAGCTCTTGGGAACATTGGCTTTTTCATCTCTAGAATGGGGTTCATGTTTCAGAGCTCTGGAGAGAATTAGGAAGGGTGTCTACCTAGCTGGAGGCAATGACATCTGCTCACCTTGTCCCATATCTGAGGCAGACTTTAGAGGTCAGCTTACTGCTGGGTACATACCTGTAATCCTAGCACCCAGGAGGCTGAGACAGGAGGATTTGGAGTATTGGGCCAGCCTGGGAAAAACAGTAGGATGCTGTTGAGAGAGAGAAATAAAGATAGAGATAAAGATAGTCTATGATTTTAAAAAAAAGGCTACTAGAAGCAGCCCAGGCCCCCAGGGTGGGGGCTAGACCAGGGTTCCTGCTTGGTGGGCTATGGGTGGGGTGGGGTGGTTCAAGGCAAGCAGGACTACCAGGGAGTCACCTGGCTGGGTCTTGAGTATCCTGTGTGTGTCTCAGGCACAAGAGCAAGAAGAAAGCCTTCACCAAAGCCTGCAAGAAGTGGCGAGACACCGACGGCAAGAAGCAGCTCCAGAAAGACTTTGCAGCCATGAAGAAGTACTGCAAGGTCATTCGGGTCATTGTCCATACCCAGGTCAGCCCAGCCCCCACCTTCAGCCTGTTTAGCTCTGGCACCTTCTTCCATCCCCCACCTCCCAGGCGAAGAGCCCTGCCCTGTCAAATGTCAGCTTAAAAATAGTACCAGTGCTGGGCACAGGCTCAAAGTGTAGCCAGCCACCTGACCGGCCACTCCTGTTCCAGAGTTGAAAGGTTGCAGGCATAGGATGCTATGTTAGTGTCATCAACAGATATAGGACATTGGCATGCCCTGTGGACAGCAAAGACCCCCAAATGTCCTGAAGGACCTGAGTCTCTGACCAAATGTTCAGTGTGGGGGGCTGACTACACTTGGGATCCAGCTTGATTTTGGCTTAAAAGTAACTAACATCCTCATTCTGGAAAATTCCTAGGCATTCTGTCTTCAGGGAAGGGTTCCCTAGGCACCACAATGGAAACCCCAGCTCCCCGTGGCACCCCACCTGCTCTCTGAATACAGACACCCCAGTTACTCTTAACACTTGCAGTTAATAGTGAACAAGTCAGTGCTTGATGTTCAACTTGACCTCCAGGGGTCATGAAGGCAGGGCTTACACTCACCTAATTCCCTTTTGGGCTCCAGGGCCTACCACAAGCCTGATATCCAGGAGGCACTCCATAAATATTTGCTGAACACTATGCTGTTATCTAACAGGTCTGCTTCCACCTATATGTCTTCTTAGCCTGTGGTGCTAATAGCAGCCAGAGCCCTGCTGGGTAGTATAGTCATTATACCTGCACTTGGAAGAAATTTGGTGCTCATCCCTATACCTGTGTGACTCTGCTACCTTCCGTGCTCCCATATGACCATACTGGGTTCTTTTCAGTCCTATCAACTCTCCAAGATCTTCCCTGAGACAGATCCTTCTCACATGTTGCTTCCTCTGTCTAAAACACACTTAGATCTTTACCTAGTGACTCCTGTTACTGGTATTACCTCCTCAGAGAGGCCCCTCTTTCCTGACCACTCTATCTGAAGTGCTGCCCATAGTCCATCAGAACATTCAACCCACTCCAAGAGTTTATTTAACATTCTATTTGTTCTTAAAGTAGATGGTGGAACTCTACTGAGATGTGGAATCTTGTCTGCCTCAGTCTGTGCTGTACAGCACTCAGGATGTGGCTGGGGCATGAGAATTTCTGTGAATAAATACAAGTGGGAAAGACTTAACATTACCAGTTGGCCAGCCACCTGCAGGTGTGGGGGTGAAGGGCTGTGAACATCTCTGAATCACTGACCTCCCTCCTGTGCCCTGCAGATGAAGCTGCTGCCCTTCCGGCAGAAGAAGGCCCACATCATGGAAATCCAGCTGAATGGAGGCACTGTGGCTGAGAAGGTGGCCTGGGCCCAGGCATGGCTGGAGAAGCAGGTGCCTGTACATAGTGTATTCAGCCAGAGTGAGGTGATTGATGTCATTGCTGTCACCAAGGGCCGGGGTGTCAAAGGTAGGGCTTCATGGAGACATAGGCTCCAGGGAAAGATATTTAGTGGGGGCTAGAGTGGCCTCTCAGTTACCAGTCCTTCCTGCCTACAGGGGTCACTAGCCGATGGCATACCAAGAAGCTGCCGAGGAAGACCCACAAGGGCCTTCGAAAAGTGGCCTGTATTGGCGCCTGGCACCCTGCCCGAGTGGGCTGCTCCATTGCCCGAGCTGGGCAGAAGGGTTACCACCACCGTACAGAGCTCAATAAGAAGGTGTGTCCATGGTCCTGAGGAGTCCCTAGAGCTTTATGTGTTGGGAGGCATGACTCAAACACTGACTGGGTTCTTGAAATGCCCTCATTAGCTCCTGGGTCTGAGCATGTGTTCTGAGAGTGTGGCCATGCAACTGGTTCCAGAACCCACTTTTGGTCCCCACTGTGCTCTGTTTTCCTGGTAGATCTACCGCATTGGCCAGGGGATACATATGGAAGATGGGAAGATGGTCAAAAACAATGCGTCCACCAGCTATGATGTGACTGACAAGTCTATTACACCACTGGTGAGGCTAGGTGGCCAGGCTGGCCAAGTGGGCCTGGTATGGCAGGGGCCGGGTGGATGGGAGCTAGGCCCCAGTCCCAGCAGGTGCTACTCTGCCCAAGAGCTCTATGTATGCTCCACAGCTAGATGGCCCTCGCCCCCCCACGTATACTAGGGACAAAGTCCTGGCAGGTGGGCAGTGATGGGAGGACTGATATGCCAGTGAGCAGCCACTTAGCAGCCCCAATCCTTGCCTGCTCCTACACCCTCCTCATCTGCTGTGAGGAAACTGTACTCAAACTATGTCATGAGGACATGGGTGCAGCAGCTCTTTTGGTGGCCTGGGAAACAGCCCTGAGCCAGAGGCCAGCAGCCACGGAATCTGAAGCAAGTATCTCGAAGCTGCTGCTTTAAAATATATTTTTTATGTACATGAGTGTCTTCCTTGGAGGTCAGAAAGAGAGCACAAGAATCTCTGGAACTGGGGTTATGGACGGTTGTGAGCTGCCATTTTGGTGCTGGAAACCTAACCCTTGTCCTCTTTAGGAGCAACAAGTGCTGTTAACTGCTGGGTCATCTCTCCAGCCCCTCTTTTTTTTTTAGGGGCGGGGGGCAGGGTTTCACTTTGTAGCTCTAGCTGGTGTAGACCAGATCCACCTGCTTCTGCCTGGATTAAAGGCATGTATCATTTACCACCCCCCCCCTTTTTTTTTAAATACAGGATTTTCTGTAGTCCATGATGACCTCAAACTCCCTATGTAGTTGCAGATGACCTTGACCTTGAACTATTTTTTTTTTTTTTGGTCTTTTTGAGACAGGGTTTCCCTGTAGCCCTAGCTGGCCTGGATCTCACTATGTAGACCAGGCTGGCCTCGAACTCACAGAGATCTGCCTGCCTCTGCCTCCCCGGTGCTGGGATTAAAGGCGTGCAACACCACGCTTGGCAACCTTGAACTTTTGATCCTACTGCATCTACCTCCTGAGTGCTGAGACCACTGGGGTATGCCACCACAGCCAGGGTTTTTTTGGGGGGGGGCTCTTTTTGAGATAGAGTCTCTCTGTAGCCTAAGCAGGCCTGGAACTCACCATGTAGACCAGGCTGGCCTCGATTTCACAGAGATCCACCTGTTTCTGCTTCCTGAGTGCTGGGACTAAAGGCGTGTGCCACTATACCCAGCTAACAGCCTGTTTTTTAAGGCAGTGCTGGGGTTCAAACCCAGGACCTCATGCATGCTAGGCAAGCACTCTTCCAATTGAGCTACAGAGACAGACTCACTCTGTAGCCCAGGCTGGCCTCACACTACCTTGAACTCAAAATGATTCTCCTGCATCATCCATCCAAGTGCTGGAATTACAGATGCATGTCCAGCAACCCCAAACTTCTGAGCTTCTGTATCTCCCCTCTACAAAAATGCAGACTGTTAAATGATATTAAGATAGGAGAAGGACTTAATATGTGACTCAGATGCTGCACTGAGTGGTATCACTCAGTGATACCCCTGTATCTTGGGGGTTGGGCATGAGGCTCCTTCCCATCTCAGTTTTGTGTGGGGAACTTTAGGGTTCCCAACTACCCCCTAACTCAGTTTCCCTGTACCTGGCCTGGTTTGATCTGTTTCCCTGTAGGGCGGCTTCCCCCACTATGGGGAAGTGAACAATGACTTCGTTATGCTGAAAGGTTGCATTGCGGGTACCAAGAAAAGAGTAATCACGCTGAGGAAGGTCAGCATGGCAGCTGGGTAGTGGGTTTCAGTAACCTGTCTTTCTTCAGCCTGTTTTGCAGTGGGAGTAGGGGAGTGGTGGGAACATAAAGGAAGGGGTCTGGCTGGAGTCAGAGTGAGCGAATCCTTCCTGGTGTGAACTGGAAGTGACAGGAGATAGGGCCCTCCATTCT